GTTGAGCAATGCACAGAGCAGACCCTCCCAAAACAGAAGTAATTGTTCCTTCCCAGGTAGCAGACCTTTAGTCACCTAATTTCACCACACACTTTCCAATGGAGATACTATTATCTCTATTTTACAGATAAGCAAACAGAGGCTAAGAGAAGGTAGTTTGCCCCAACAGCCTTCTGAGGATGAAGGCACTGAACCTGAACCCCCTGCTTCAGAGGCATTATACCTTACTTCTACGATATACGCGTGTGTGCTGCACTCGTGGATGCTGGCACCGGTGGTGACTCTGTCCTTGCTTCCAAGATTTTTACTAGCAAATTGGTTAGTGTTTATTTTTGGAAGACCATCTTCATGGTCAGGTCTGTAGATGTTTATTTAGAATTGCCCCCATGGCAATGCTGTGGGTTTAAGACTATAGGTCTGTGCTTTCTTAGTCTTGATGAGCTCACAGCCACTTCAAGTTGAGGACCTTCTCTTGCCTTTAAACCAAGATCTGTATGCGTATTAAGCAGTCCAGAGATGTGTTGGCCAACAATTCAAGCAACTGAGGTCAGTGTCCTGAGTCTGGATTGTTGGGGCTGGACATGTCCATGCAGAGATGACCATAGGGGCAGAGTATGATTGAGGCAGTGGTATTAGTTGCTGTTATTCATTTACTTCTTGGTGGTCAATGACCCAGTTGGCCATCATTCAGCTGCTGTGTGCAAGTCATGTTCCCAAAGGCTCTGTCCGAAGGTTCCAGCTCAGCAGTGGCTTCTCATCTAAAATACCATTAGAGGTAGGGTATGAGTTGGTTGGTGACTGACTTGGTCCAATGACTTAGGAATTGAAGGAAAAACAATATTTTTTTTTTACATAAAGAGGATAAATACAGACTTTGTAAATCTCTAGGTCAAAGTTGGAAGTCCCTTAGTGTCAGGCTGTAGGTTGGGACGCTGTTATCTGAATTACCCTTAGCCTAGAGCTGTACCTAGTGAGAACATGCAGATGAGTATGAGCCTATCCTTAACAACTAAAAGGCAGCTCTCTGCCAGTCACCACAGGAGAAGGTGTCTGGATAGGTAGGAGAGATTGAGGGGGAGATGGAAAAGATGAGAACAAAAGGGACTGGAGTTCAACTGCTTTGGTTTGCTTTTGTTTTCCTTCAGTAGTTGTGGAGGTGAACTTACCAAAGGATAAAAGTGGAGGATTCTGTGTCCAAGTTTACTAAATCTTGTCTATTTTGTAAAGGGACTATAAGGCAATCCAATGAAGCTTGTTAAATGTTTAAGTTATTTTTTTTTCCTTCTTAAGATTTATTTATTTGTGCATCCAGAACTGGGGAACAGGCCAGAGGCTCAAGGGCAGTGAGAGGATTCACCAGAGACAGAGTGGGGAGCAGAACAGGCAGATCAACAAAGCACACTGCTGAGGGGAGCAGCGGGCGGGCCAGGAAAGGTCTGCTGTGCCATGTGGATCACCTCCTAGGGCGGGTGGGAATTGAACTTATTCAGAAGTGGCTTTAGCTTCTTAGTGCTCGCCCCAACCCACTGCACCACCAGGGAGGGCCCATGTTTAACTTTTTATTTTGAAATAATAATAAATAAATAATTGAAATAAGTTCAAAGAATAATACAATCCAGATTCCCTACATAGTAAACATTTTACTATATTTGCATGCTCATTCTCTTTATACATAGAAGCATGTTTTAATAGGTTGATTTATCATTATACATGTATTATTATTTGAACTGTTTGAGACTAAGTTGAAAACATGGTGCTACTTAGTCTTTAAATATTTCCTAAAAAGCAGGACATTTTCTACATTATGGGAGGGAATCACCAAAACTGAGACACAATAGTAATGCAATATTAATTTTCAGGTTGATAGAGCTTTATTAAACATCACCACTTGATCTAATAATATTATTCCTGGCAAAAGAAAAAATGTTTTCCTGAGATGGCATCATATATTGCATTAGGAGGTCACAGCTGTTTGGTCTCCTTTCATCCGGAGCAGTCAGTCTTTTCTTTGTGACTTGACACTTTTGCATAGCACAGGCCTTGCATGGCGTGGATGTGGAAGTTGTGTCCTCATGCACGATTGGCTTATGATACACATAGGTGCCCTTCCTGTTGGGCAGCACCAGAAGGTGCATGATGTTGGTGTTGGTTTGACCATAGCTGGTGAGGTCTATTTTTGTCACTCAGTGTGTCCTCTTAGATCGCTCTGCTGCAAAATTACTATTGCTCTTTTTTAGTGGAAAAACATTTTCTCATTGAGGTCACAATCATTTGCAATACCACATAAGTTTCGGGAAGACCATGGCACTTCTCCACAAATGCATGTACCACACAATGCCCACTCCCCAAAAGTCCAATTTCTATCCACCATGCTCCAATGGAGCATGGTGCTCATTCCTCCCAGTCCCCTCAACTAACCACCATTCTGTCCTCAGAGTCTAAGGGTTTGTTTTGTTGGTTAGTTTATTTCTGTATATTCTATGCAAACATGGAATCATAGTGAAGTTGTGCTGTTCTTTATAACTTATTTCAGTTTATCAAATTGCTTGACTCTGCAAGTAACTTTTGAACACAGTTTTCATGAACAGCCATGATTTCAGAAGCATCCTTCAATCTGAACTTCAAGACAAGGCCTATTGACTGTCATCCATGAGGCTCCTATTGATTCTAAGAGATGATCTGAACAAAGGGCAAAGATATTGTGTGGGTACAGAGCAGAGAGGAAATTTTCTCAGTCATGAGAAAGGAAAATAAAGCTTTTCCCATATGTGATATTTTCTGTACTCTCCTTCTATATGTAGAAGGAGTCAGTTCACACCCAGGGCTGCTCCTACATGGGGACGACTTCGATGAGCTCCTCCCCTTGGGGTGCCCTATTGCTGTGAGCTGGGGACCCTGGGCTACCATGACTCTCAGACCTGACACTTCTGGGTAAAAGCCCTCTGGCTCTTGTTCACATCCTACTGAATGGCTTGCTCTTCCCCCACTTTGGTTTCCACAGTAAAAATGAGAGTGTTGACTCTTTTTGTAAATAACAAATTTTAAATTGTATGTGCAATTTCTTTTTAAAAAAGATTTATTTTAGGCCCTCCCTGGTGGTGCAGCGGGTTAAAGCACAGCACTGAGAACTAAAGCTGCTTCTGCATGAGTTCGATTCCCGCCTGCCCCGGAGGTGACCACATAGCATGGCAGACCTCTCCTGGCCCACCCGCTGCTCCCCTCAGCAGTGTACTTCATCGATCTGCCTGTTCTGTTCCCCACTCTGTCTCTGGTGAAGCCTCTCACTGCCCCTGAGCCTCTGGCCTGTACCCCAGTTCTGTATGCACAAATAAATAAATCTTTAAAATAAAAGATTTATTTTACTTATTTGTGCATACAAGAACTGAGGTGTAGACCAAAGATACAGGGGTGGGTTAGTGAGAGAATTCACCAGAAACATAGAGGAGCACAGAACAGATGGATTGACTGAAATACACTGCTGATGGGAGTAGTGGCAAGACAGGAGAGGCCTGATCTACTATGTGGTTCACCTCTCTGGCCAGGGATCAAACTCATGCTGCAGTAGTTGGAGATAGCTTGATAGCATTAAGACTTTACCCTCTCTACCACCTAGAGGCCCCAACACGTGCAATGTCATATTCTAATGTAGTCTGAAATCTTTCCCTGTGATGCTTTCAAATTTAACATGACACTCGTTTTTAATGATACAATTGCATGATCATATACAAGTGTCATTTCATAGGAAAGCCCTATATAAATTAAGAATTTCCAAGATGTTAGTATTTATGTCAAGACTATAAAGTTAATATGGTAATCTTCTTTAACAATTATTTTTAATCCAAAAATATTATGAAGTTATTTCTAAACTGGTGAAAGAAGTGTACATGAAATAATAAAATTTCCTTAACATAAAACAAATGATATGTGCTGAGGAGAAATGCAGGCACAGGCTTATGAGGACAGGAAAAAGAAGCCTTCTGTTTAGTTGTAGGCCATAAGTCACCACTCTCTTTGGTAAAATTAGTTTTCATCGTTGTTCTGCTCTATTTATGGTCAAAATCTCACAGCTCTAAAATATGAGCTCCCTTTAGTTTGTTCTCAGTATATGGTTTTTTTTGTTTGTTTTTTTTTTTTCTCAGAAGAGGTTGTTGCCCAGAGAAGACAGAATCTGTGGCTCAGTATTGGATTTGGGATTCTGAGCCTTTGGGCTTTCTCCTCTTCTGATTAACCCACTTAAAATAAGAAAATGGAAGCCAACTGGTAAATATTTTCATAGTGGCAACACCAAAATACTTTTTTCATCAGTCTGAAATTAATTGAGAATCTGAGAATGATTTAAATTGAACAAGTCTTTGTAATAGATTTTGAGTCTTATCTCTTCTTGAATTTCATAAAGTAACAAGAAAAAATTTTACGTAAGAGTCTTTTTTTAAGATTTATTTATTTATGCATACAGAACTAGGGTACAGGTCAGAGGTGCGGGGGTGGTAAAAGGATTCACTAGAGACAGAGCAGGGAGCAGAACAGACAGATCCACTGAAATACACTGCTGAGGGGAGCAGCAGGTGAGACAGGAGAGGCCTGCTGCGCCTTGTGGGTCACCTCCCTGGCTGGGGATCAAACTGGCACTGAAGTGGCTGGGACCAGCTTGCAGTGCTGCACTTTAACCTGTTGTGCCACCAGGGAGGGCCAGTCTATCTTTCTAATCAATGAATTCACATATGAAATTAATCCCACATCAACGCAATGACCATGTCAACCCTGACAGGACTCTTCTTTCTTCATTTACTTTCTCTGACTACTCCTTGGTCAGTTTTTGCATTGTTCTAAAGGGATAGGTTAGTACTTAAATGACTATTTCTCAACCAAATAAGAGATAGTGTTTAACTCTCTATTTGTTCTCTCAAATGCATAAAAATAGCTCAAGTACACCAACCCTGGTTTATAATATCTTTGTAGTTCTAATTTGAATTTTCTTTCCACTTTTTAATATTCAGGGCATCATCTTTTATTGTTCAAGAAAGAAGTGTCTCTGTCACTTTTAGGGGGGAAAATGCTCTTTTGGGTGTTAGCCCTCCTAATCTTCTGTGGTTTCCTGTGGACTTACAAAGGACAACTAAAGATTGCAGACATCAATGATAAGTACATTTTCATCACTGGATGTGACACAGGCTTTGGAAACTTGGCAGCCAGAACTTTTGATGAAAAGGGATTTCATGTCATTGCTGCCTGTTTGACTGAATCAGGATCAACAGCTTTGAAGGCAGCAGCATCAGAAAAGCTTCACACTGTGCTTCTTGATGTAACTGATCCAGACAATGTCAAGAGAACTGCCCAATGGGTGAAAAACCAAGTTGGGGAAAAAGGTGAGTTGGAGGAAGGAGTTGTTGCAAAGTAACTAAAGCTAGTGTTTGGATTTTTAATAACCTTTCAAAGATATGTCTCCTAATTACCGATTGTGTGCTAGAGAAGATTGGAGAAATCTTAGAATAGCCTGTAAGTAGTTCATAGTACAAGCTCTGTGTGTAAAAGAGAACAGCCTGAATTTCCTTTTTTCCTCAGTCCCAGAGAGTGAATTTAGACTCAGGTGGAGGTTTTGACTTTTCCCAGACTTACCACGAAGTGCTACTCCAGCCACATAGGAACATAGAGGTTAAAATCTACAGGAACATATGAGAGCAATCCTCAAATTGTCATCTGCATAGCTGGATCCAGTTCTAACTACAAAATAATTCAAGAACTTATATGTTTTTGAGGCAGGAGGTAGAAATGGCCTGAGGGTTTGCACATAGGTGACTTTGCTACTCATGGGAGAGCAGTGAACACTGGACTCACTCTACATTAGACTTCATACCGGTAGCTGCATTCTGAACTAGAGCACTTTTATTAGCTTGAATGACTTTGAAGTTAAATGAAGATATTTAGGTCCACAAATCAGGTTTTTTTTTATTTTTCTATATCACATCTTCATCATATATGTGAGCAATTGTTTGACAAGTCTCCAGATAATTCCTAAAGCCAGAATTCCAAACACACTTACCAAAGTTAAATGTTTCCCATCATAAAAGAAACCAAATAAATTATGGAATCTTTTACCAAAATTAAACACAAAAACGTTGATGTCTCATATAGAAGAGTTTATAAATATCCTTTGGCCTTGCCATTTAGCAAATTTCGAAAAAACAGACCAGTTTACAACTGAAATTAAAAAGCAAAGTTTCACTCAAGCAGTGTCAGAACCACAACTAGAATAACTGTGATAGGCTTCCAGTATCAAAACATCAGTTATTTCAATTTAGCCTCTCACCCTCTCTCCTATGACTTCCCCAAATGACAAGTATTTCAAAGCAGGAATATGATGAGGAGGAAATGCCATCATTGTGTAAAGCAGGTGCCATATTTCTATCCAGATTCCCATGTAAGTGTAACCTTCTACCATACCTCCCCTCCTTCCTCTCTGTTTTAGGGCTCTGGGGCCTGATCAATAATGCAGGTGTTCTCGGGGTGCTGGCTCCCACTGACTGGCTGACATTGGATGACTACAGAGAGCCTATTGAAGTCAACCTGTTTGGACTCATCAATGTCACATTAAATATGCTTCCTTTGGTCAAAAAAGCACGAGGGAGGATTGTCAACGTCTCTAGCATTGGCGGCCGGCTTGCATTCTGTGGAGGGGGTTATACTGCCTCCAAATATGCTGTAGAAGGCTTCAATGACAGCTTAAGGTAAAGCAAACATTCACAGATTAGGAAATAACAGTTGCTAACTTCTCTTGAATATTTATTACACATCAGACACCCTCTTTAGTGTTGTAAGTTGCTTCAATCTATAGATGATACCACTGAAATTGAGATACGGTATTATGTCCAAAATTACCCAACTGGTCAGTGATAGAACAAACATTTGGACCTAAGTCTATATACATCTTTTTTACTTTTTCATTAATACATGATGCTTCTGCAGAGGTAAATTGACATTTAGCAGGACGGTTTGTTATATAGTCAGGGAATCAAACTGAGTGGCTAAATCAAGTAGGTCTCTCCATTGTTATTGCTGTTGGTGACATAAATGCTCCATCTTTTTCAAACCTTCAGTTGAAAATTAACTGCTATTTGTCAAAGTAATGACATGACTATCTTGCTCCCACAGCCCAGATCCCCACCCCTTCTTTTATCGCAAATTGTAGACCCTAATCTCCATCCCTCTCTGACTAGAGCACAATGGATGGTATCCTCCCTGCCCCCATCCAAGGACAAAGTTTCCTGATGTTCCCATTTGAAATGAAACTCAAAGCAAGACTTTGTTAACCAGAACTTTCCTGCTACACAGGAAAGCATTGACCAAATCTTTTTCTGTGCACCACCAGAGCACCCTAAAGCTCAATTAAAGGTACAATAAGCCAAAAAAAAAAAAAAAAAAAAAAGCCAGGATGTAGGAGAAGTCCCAATTCTGCCCCAAGTATGGAATTCTTTGGGTTTACTATAAACCCAAACTGAGATTCACTGGGCTTCTTGAATATGTAGATTTCTGCCTTTTGCTAAATTGGGGGAGTTTACAGGCATTATTTCTTCAGACATTTTTTTTCTATAATCTACTCTGTCTTCTCCTGGAATTCTAATTCAAATCTTAGATCTTTTAATTTTGTAGCATAAATCTCTAAGATTTTTTTATTGTTCTCTCTGTTGTTTATATTGGATAATTTCTGTGTTCTATCTTCAAATTTACTGACTTTTCACCACTTTTATTCTGCTACTAAGTCCAACTAGTATTTTATTTTGGTTATTGCAGTCTTCAAATGTAAACTTTTCATCAGGTTATTTGTGTCTTTTCTGTCTTTCCTAAAGCATTCAAACCTTACATTCACTTCAGGAGTATTTTTCTTTGTTTTATGGAATTTTTAAAATAGCTGCTTTAAAGACTTTGATAATTCTAATATCTGTCTCTTGTCTTTCCCCATGTGAGAAGTTCTTTTTATGCCATGTAACTTGGGATTATACAATGAGCATTTAGAATTAATATGACCTTGGGTCTTATTTAAATTATATGGAGAATGTTGAATTTGGTTGTGTTTTAGTAGACCATTGACCTGATTGTGTTCAGGTCACAACTTCCAGCTAATCCTTTGTGGCTTGAGATTCCAGTGACTATTCAGTTTCCAGAGCTTTGCTTTGCTACTCAGGTCTCTTCCCACTGCACAGTAGCCAATGTGGGCTGTGGAAGATGACAGAGTCCAGAGTTCCCTCCCTAAGGCAGATGCAAATGCACACACACACACACACACACAGTGCATAAACTATGTCAGGGCTTGATTTCCTGAGCTACACTTCTCAGTGGTCTCCCCAGCACCCTGGCACTGTCCTCAGGCCAGAAGTCACTCCATTTTCTATTTACTTTGCAAAAAATTTGCTGGGTATGAAGCCATATGATGGCAGGAAAGAGAGGCAAACAGCAGCAAGGTTTCTTCCCATTCTCTTGGGGACACAGTAACACAGAGCAGAGAGGTTCACCTTCACTAATTTTAGGCCCCTACAGTTTCCCAGGTCTGTCACTATCCTGCTGCTACTGCATTGCCACCAAGTTACTAGAACGTAGGCTGTGAATGGACAGAGAAAAGGAGGGAAGAATTTAAACAATAAGGATTTCCCTTACTCTCTCTTAGGTTTTCCCCTTGCTACTCCTCAAACCAAAACAATGGACTTCCCCTAGGGTTCTCTCTGTTCGTTAGTGGCATATCTCCTAAAAAGTATTCCTTCTGCTTCTGAGTTTTTATTGATTTGAGTCCAGATAAGACTATCCAGACTAGAGGAAAAACAGGAAACTATTTTTGGTTCAAAATCTGGTCTTTTTTCCCCATTCACCTACTAGCATTTGCTTTTTAGAGTTTGTAAATAGTTGCTCTATTTTATAGCTGCATTTAGTGGGAGAGACAGGGTTTGTGTGCTTCGTTGCACCCTAAACCAGATGTATAACCATCTATTCAAAGTTCCTAAATTGTTCTATCAATCAAAATTGTACAGGAAATGGAGGCACAGTACAATTGGGGTAATAGACGATCTTGTGGAAATTCTGACTCAGGGTCAGTGGGGCTGGGGTGTGGCCTGAGTGTCAGCATTCCTAAGGAAGTTGCTGCTTGTAGTTCAGGGATCACACTTTGAGGAGCAAAGTCATGAAGTCCCTCCCTTTTCTCCTGGGTCACCCTTTAGTTCTACTCTATAAGCAATAGTGCCCCAATAAAATTTTAATACACTTAAAAAGTCACTCCAATGGCACACAGGTGATTTGGTGATGGGAAGCCCACGGGGATTACAACTGAGATGAAAAAATGCACAAAATGATGTAAAAATAAACTATTACATTAATTTAAAAAAAAGTCACTCCATTTTAAAAAGAGAGTTCTCCTAAAGAGTTTGTGGCATTTGCAGTACAGTTATGCCTTGCTAAAAGTAATCAATGAAGATTCCTTCCTAACTGATGGAATTGGTATTGGAAATGGTATTGCACAAGTAGAGCGCAGAACAGTAACAGCTCTAGAATTTACATGTGTGTGTAAATTTATATATAAATATATATATTTTTTATTCTACATGTGAGTGAAGTCATCCAATATTTGTCTTTTTCTTTCTCACTTATTTCTAGCAAAATCCCCTCCTACCCCAGCCCCGTATGTTGTATAACATTTTAAAATTTAGTGCAAGTCTGATAGAGAGGGAGGATGGGTAAGAGAGAGGACAAAGGGGAAGGGGGACAACGGGGTTCTCTGGGTGCCTTAATGATGGGGGTGGTGTGGTGACATACATCTGAGGAGATTTGAATCTATTCTCCTAAATCATATACAGTGATGTAAACAAATGTTACCTCAACAAAAATAATAAATACATACTTTTTTTTTAAAGATTTTATTTATCTGTGTATACAGAACTGGGGTACAGGCCAGAGGTGCAGGGGCGGTGAGAAGATTCACCAGAGACAGAGCAGGGAGCAGAATAGGCAGAGCGATGAAGTACACTGCTGAGGGGAGCAGCGGGAGAGTCAGGAGAGGTCTGCCGCGCCATGTGGTCACCTCCAGGGCAGGTGGGAATCGAACTCATGAGGAAGCGGCTTTAGCTTCTTAGTGCTGTACTTTAACCTGCTGCGCCACCAGGGAGGGCCTAAGTACATAATTTTTAATGCAAGTAACATACCCTTCAAATTTCTTTCAAGGTCAAGCTAATTTTCATGTTTACTAAAACTAAACAATAGGTATGCTGTCAGGAAGCAGAGTCAATGATCAATTAGTTGGATTTTATGTTTACTGGTCAAGTGCTTTCAAAATCTTATGGTAAATTCTTCTGTAAAATGAATAATGTCTTTTTATACATTCCTAGTGGAAATAGTTTTTCAATTTAGTAGACTATTATTCATATAATGGTTTGTAACACACTGGTTTGCTTTAGTAAAGGGCACCACGATTCCCCCTACAACCTTGTACTGTCCCAGTAAAGGGACAGTCTTTGGGAGATGTGATAAAAGAACTTAAACAGCTTACGGGATAGGTTAGTTACATCAGAATTGTCAGTGTTTCCTTCACATGTCCTCATTTGTGCTGCAAGCTCTCAGATCTTGGATTGGAGGTAAACTAGTCCATCCAGGTCAGTCATTAGTTGGTTTCACCAGAAGTAGAGTACTAAGAAGAAACCTGTCCTTGGCCCTTTAATGAGAGTGTGGCTGAGAGGGGGGCACTGGGCTGGAGTGAATCCACCCAGATCCTGTTCCCTCTTGTCACTAAGCCAGCCCTCATTTCACCACTCTGAACTTCCATTTCCTCATCTGCAAAATAAGAGGGTAGAACAAGATGTTCCCAATTCTGTGTTTCCAATGTTCCCAATTCTGTGTTTCCATCAATTCAGAACTCCCAAGAAAATAGCAAGTATTTGCCAATGAGGCCTGGATTATACATCTTCATGGGTTCTTTTCACAGACTGGACATGAAAGCTTTCGGCGTGCACGTCTCATGCATCGAACCAGGGCTATTCAAAACAGAGCTGTCGGATCCAGTGAAGACCACTGAAAAGAAACTCGCCATTTGGAAGCACCTGTCTCCAGACATCAAACAACAATATGGAGAAGGTTACATTGAAAAAAGTGAGTTTCTGGGTAGACCCAGGTTCCTCAGGGATGCATCACCTTAGACAGCACGAAGGAGACTCAAACATAATTTTTAAAATGAGCTTTGCATTGTAATACACTAACAGAGATTTTAAATACAGATCAAGGATCCTATTAATTCCAGTCTCATCTCTCTTCACCTTGTCTTCTCTAAATACTTGTAAGCATTTATGAAGTGCCAAGTTCTCTACTAAATGCCTTGTAGAATATATCGTTTGTTCCTCAGAAGAACTATAGTAGTTAGCTGACGCTTGCAAAGGCAGTTGTCCAAGATTATACCTGGTCATGTCCAGAGAGGAGCCCATGGTCTTCCCCTGTATGCAGGTGAAGTAAGCATTTTAGTAAATGCCAATCACTCGCTCAACATAGTACAAGCATTTGTGGAGATTACCATGTATAGACTCTGATCTTCTCTGCAGCCTGACAATTAATTCACAATGTGATAGCAGACGGTACAACTGCAAAACAATGAGATTATACAGTATCCAAGAGAAGTGATCCTTTACTTCTTAAATGCAACCCAAAGGCACAAATGGGGTGATCTCTGGTTGCTGATGATATTCAGATCAGGCAAATAGCATTGTGATGAAAAAGACTTTATGACACAGATTAGGCTTGACCAACCCCTAAATTATTTGCACAGAAAGTTCCTAGAAGAGGAATGCATAGAGGTATGGATGGAAGGAGACAGACATAAATCAGGTTGAGTCAGGGGTGACGGAGTACCCACAAACATCAGCTTATCGTGACTAACCTACATTGAATGTTTACTGTGTACTTGTCACTATTCTAAGTGCTTTTGCACTTTTGCATTTAAAATGGCCAAATAAACCCTTTGGAGGAGACACCCTTTAATTTTATAGGAAAAGAGGCACGGGGAAGTATCTTGCCTGAAAGTGCATTACTCACAGGTAGAGAGCTAGATTTGAACCCAGGCAACGTGACTGTGCCATCAAGTCTTGGGCACCAAGAGTAATGTAAACAAGGCATGAAGGGGCTGGTTGAACTTCCTGGCTCAGGGCTACACCTCCTCAAACTTCCTGGCCTTGTTCAAGTTTACTTGATATTCCTCACAGAGTTAATGAGTCCCTGCTTTGAGCCATCATACAGAGCCCCACCTAAGGCTGTGTCACTCCAGCACTCCAATCTGGGATCCTGCCTCTTCATCAGTGAGCTTGGCCAGCAGCCAACTGTGGTAAAGTTTAGAGCCAGGATGTTGCGAGGTGTTACTAAGAGCCAAGCCAGATGCACCTGGGGACATTTTAGAAATGTCTGGTCCCCACCAGCCCCCCAAACACATGGGACACACACACATACACCATATCTGGTTTGACAAGCCTCCCAGTGCTGACACCACAGTCTCAGAATCAGTTTAAATGTTGTTTCTTACCCACTCACCAATTCTATAGGTTCAGAAATAAAACTCATTTAAAAGAGTTTTCTCTGCTTGATATTGACATTGACACTTTTTTCAGGCTCATGACTAAAATCATCAGTTTGTATCTCAAAATTATTTTGGCAGTGGGCTCCAGATCATATGTCTTATCTTAGGATTCCCCCTAAAAAGACAGAGAGCCTGACTTTGCACTGGTGGTTTTTATTGGTTTGTAAGTTCCCAAGTCAGACCTTGGAGTTCAGCCAGACTCATAGGTTGAAAGTAGACCACAAATGTTAAGCTCATCTTTCTACATTTCCTAGACAGGGGTAGTAGTAGAATTAAAAATAGCTACAAACACTTGCTAGGGGCCTCAGTTAGGTTCATTGAGCAACTAATGGCCTGCAGCTGAAAGGAAAGTATAAAACCATGCATTCTTCCTTGAAAAGACAAAACTCCTGCATGTTTTAAAACCACCAGGTGGAAGGCACCTGGTGGAAGGCAACCCTTTGATAAAATGCCTGCCTCTTTAAATGCATAGTAGCTCATTATCCAAACACCCCACTTGCCTGAGAAGTAACTTCCTGAATCAGGACAGATAAGTGTGTGCGCGCACACACACACGTACATGTTACACCCACACTTCAGACAAAACAGGAATCAAACCCACAACTTTGGGCTCAGGAGCCTCACAGATTTTTGACATGCCTTTCCCTTATTGCTTTAAAGTAGTACTTCTCAAAGTCTGTTCCCTGCCCAGAAACATCAGGGTCATCTGAAAACTTGATAGAAATGTAAATTCTTGAGCCCCACTTTATACCTACTGCATTAGAAATTAGAGAGGAGACCCAGCAATCTGAGTTTTAATAAGCTTTCTAGAAGATTCTGCTGCTTGCTCCAGTTTGAGAGCCAGGGGCATCATTTTCTGAGGAGTAGATGGAACTCCATACCCAGGGGCTTCAACTATAACAGCAAATTTAAAATAAATTTTAGCACATGCTTCCTCCCTTTCACACACTGACCTCACAAACTCCTTCTCTGTCTTCCAGGAGTAAATATGCTTTTTGTCTTTTGTTACAGGTCTAGACAAACTGAAAGGCACCAGGTCCTTTGTGAATGTGGACCTCTCCCTAGTGGTGGAGTGTATGGATCATGCTCTCACAAGTCTCTTCCCTAAGACCCGTTATGTGGCTGGAAAAGATGCCAAGACTTTTTGGATTCCTTTGTCTCACATGCCAGCAGTTTTGCAAGACTTCTTATTGTTGAAACAGAAAGTGGAGCTGGCTAATCCCAAGGCAGTGTGACTCAGCTGACCACAAATGCCTGCCTTGGGCTAGGAAATTGGTAGATTTCAAGGACACATCCCTAGACTATGCTTCTTTTGATAAATGGAGGGGCCCCATCATCACTGGTGATATACCAGAGTCTCTTTAAGGCTTCTTTGAAAAGAGGAGCAAGAACGGCTCATCATTGACAATGATGGGGGCAGGGGTGGGGTGCGGGGAAGGGCACCTGCCACATGTCTAAGCTTTGCCTGTGTGGAACGAACTGAGGGAAATGGAAAGACGTTCCGATGTAAAAACTCTTCATCACTACCTCCACTTTCAGTAACTCCTGAATGTTAAATAGTTGTCCTTTATCAAAACAGTCAAAGATAGTACATGTGGATGAGAGGTGTTCTGTTATTCACTGAGAATAAGAATCAGAAGGACTGAAGTTCATGGGATCAGGAAGAAAAAGAAATAAACCATGTGTGACTGGGATAAGCTAAGGGGAGGCAGAAAAGCACATGTAGAACTATAAGTAGGAGGACAAGCAGAGCAAAAAAGGAGCAAGAAGTCCCTAAGAAGGGAGGCAGGCAGCCTCCAGCCCCAGCCCCCTGGCACAGGGGTCACCATAGGGGGTGAGTAGCCTACTCAAGGCATTGCCAACCTTGAGCACACAGATGTCTGTGGAAAGATAACAGGCTAACCAGGCATTCAAAAAGAAGAAACATATAGGGCTTTTATGTTTATTCTGGAAATTGTAAAATAACAATACCCGGTATTTCTGATAGATCTCCTATGTTAGGTGATTGGAAACCTTGTATATGTGCCCCTCAAGCCTCACAAAGATACACAGTTAAATTGCAAGGCTCTCTATAGCCTGTTACAGTGAGAGAGAGCAGGTCTGCTTCTTACTTATAGTCATGATTCCAAATTAGCTCATCCCTGAGCTCACGCCCCATCCAAAAAGAACAGTTCTCTAAACAGAGGCCTCTCCAGATTCTGTGCCCAGTATCACTTCCAAAGGTTTGTTGTATCTCTACATGAAAAAAAAAAATTGAAGCATCAGAAATCAACATCAGTTGTGGGATAATACAGGGTAAGAGAAACACTCTAAGATGCATGCACATATATAAACACTCCACTTGTTCCATCTGTGCTTGGAACCATGTACATTTGAAGATATCAGTGATTCTAGTCATGTTCATTCACTTTTGGGAAACATCTGGAATGAAGTAATATCTTCCTTTCAGGTTCATCACATTAATGACATTGGAAAACCAAATTACTAGAGATGTCTGTCCACCTGGATATGTATTTCATTGGGAGCAGGGGATATACTTATTCTTTTTCCATGCAAATGAAAAAAATCATAGCAAGAATGAGAATTCCCAAGCAAAGTTAACTATTCTCACTATCACCTCTGAAGCCACTCTCCTTTTGGCCAAAGCCCCTGAAACAGTTCATCTGTAGAGCTTTTAGCTTCTCTGGATACAATTAATCACCTATGGGTTGGTGTCACTCTCAGCTTGTCCTTGGACCTGTGGTTCACCAACATTGATTGTTGGGGCTCTTCTTTCTCAGAATTCCTGGATCTTGCCTTTCTTTTGTTGCTTAAAAAGGGCCTGACTGCTGCATTAAGCCTTTCAGACCTCTCAGGGCTGCTTAGACTTTTAAAATCCCCAAGAACTTTTGTTGACCAACCACTTACACTGATCATGTGGGGTCTGTCTAATGTTATTTCTTTGTTTTGCTTATGCCTGGGTTGTGAGCAATCAGCCTGTTTCATCTGCCCCCCCCCAAGAAACTGCTCTACTTGATTAAGTCCTCACAAATACAGCATTACCTCAAAATAAAACCAAGCATATTCACCCAATTGAAACAAGCCAAATGTCTCATCCTACTTTTCACAAGATCTGAAGTTCTACTTCTTCAAGTCTTAAAATCATGCCTTTCCCTAAGAAAAGGAGAAAGAAGTTGGGTGCTCAAAGGGAGCTCAGAGGCCTCAGGATGAACTTCAGCTAAACTTCAGACTGTGAGCTGAATCCCAGGTTGAGCACAGGGAAGGGGAAGCTGGAAGGAAAGGTCCTTCTAGCCTCTAAGGAGATTGTAACCTATGTCCTTGGTTAGTTTAGGATCCCTGGGCAGTTATCCGAGATATTTCCTTACTTTTTTAAAATAGGAGCTCCAGGCCCTCCCTGGTGGCGCAGCGGGTTAAAGCACAGCACTAAGAAGCTTAAGCCACTTCCGCATGAGTTCAATTCCCGCCTGTCCCGGAGGTGACCACATGGCGTGGCAGACCTCTCCTGACCCACCCGCTGCTCCCCTCAGCAGTGTACTTCGTCGATCTGCCTGTTCTGTTCCCCACTCTGTCTCTGGTGAAGCCTCTCGCCGCCCCTGAGCCTCTGGCCTGTACCCCAGTTCTGTATGCACAAATAAATAAATCTTTAAAATAGGAGCTCTAAGTGGATATTGTATAAATAAAGAAAACTTCACAAAGGGCTTACAGTGAAAAATCTAGTTGTGCTCCCACTGTATGCCTGGTGCCTAAGAACTAAGAGCATCTCACATGTCTTTCCTGAAATGTGCACAGGTGTAGACACCCTCCCCACACAAATGGTAGCATTTGTAAGTGGTACACACTTTTCTCTTTTGTTCTAATGTGCTCAAATTTTAATAAACTAAAGAATGAACACCTTCAAAAAAATGTTTGATTTCCTTTTCAAATGTGGTCCAGGCTGAGTCCATAGATGTTTACGATTCCATCATCTTTTAACAAACAAATATAGTCACTAAATCATGGTGTTGTTAGTCCTTCATTAAATACATCTAAAAGTTAACAGTCCTAACACTCTAGTTTCCTCTGTAATTTAGGGCAGTAAAATTAAAACTTTTCACTTTACCCTGGATAAAATAAAGGAGATAATTATGTTGATTGTAAGTTCTTAAGAATGTAAAGCTATTTATCAACATGAGCAGTTACAAGTGGAACCACCAAAGCATTAATAAGTGATTCTGAAGGTAAGTGGCTCCTCTCTAAGAAGTTAATTAAGTCTTTTAGGAAACCAATTATAAAACACTACATTCACTTCTGGGATATCTAATTCTCAAAGAATGTTTGATTCCCTGAAAATCTATTCCATGCCATTAAAAAGATTTTTAAAAGTTACATGTCGATTGAGATGTTCCTTTTTTTTATTTCTTAACTGATTCTTTGTGTATACCCAGACATCCACTTTCTTGACTCTTGGCTAAAAGTAGCAGAGGAAGTTTTTACAAATTTGTCCTATTTGATTCCAAAGTTAAACCTTTGGGACAGTTTCCTGTTAAGTAAACCACATCCCTGTTGTAGGAGAACAGAATCACAGTCTTGTTAAATTACTCTATTACTCTGAAATAACAGAGATGCTGTTATGGTTGAATTCACACACAGAGAGAGAAATCCTAAACCCAAGTGCCTCAGAATGTTACTATTTGGAGAAAGGTCTTCACAGAGGGTATCAGTTACAGTGAGGTCCTAGGGGACCCTAACCCAAAACTTGAAGTGTCCTTATAAAAAGGGAAATTGGACACAGGGTCAAACACACACTCACAGAGGGAAGACAATCTGAAAAGGCAGGGAAAAGACAACCATCTTCCCTCTCAGGCCTCAAAGGAACCAACCTTGCCACACTCTGACTTCTGACTCTGATTCCAGAACTGTTAAGACAATGAAGTTCTGTTGTCTAAGCCTTTGAAGCATCTTAGGTCCATGGCAGACCCTAGTTGTAGGTCAGTCCCCACCCACACCTTAACCTGTTTACTATTTTTTAGTATGTTGGTCCAAAATAAGGACAAGAGCAACATTCTAACTTTTCTTCATCCCAACTGAGTAAGTGATGTGTGGAGAGAAGGTTAGTGGGGCAGCAGAGCACTGAGTGACCGAAAGGGGAAAGAGTGAAGACACATGGGTGAAACAGCCACACAAAGTAACTGGAGTATCTTACCAGCTCAGCTGGCTTGGAGCTCTGGTAACAAACTAACTGAAGGCCCCGAGTCACCCGCTCCCTAGTGCCGTTTCCAGAGTAAGAGAAAGCCATAGGAAATGGCTCCCTATGTATCACCCAAAGTCCCAGAATGCCTGCTTAGCTGCGCCTACTCCAGTGACTGGAAACTACAAGCCCCAGCAGTACCAGGGAGAGAGCTGGAGTAGGGGGGTAGAAAGCTGGAGTAGGGGGTGGAGTCCATAAAACTCTGCAGAGTTCCTTTAGGACATCCTTCCCTTTAACAGAAGAACTCACCTGACAGGGCTTTCAGTAGGTGTTAGAATAGGCATGGGCAGGTACAAGTTCTTAACATCTTTGATTCACCTTCTGATTTTTCAAAGGAAAGGGAACAAACAAAGGCTTTGATTGGTAGAGCATCTGAAACAAGATTATGTCAAATTCAGTGGAGCTAGACTCAGATAAGAAAGGGGTTTCTTCAATGCTGAAAGACAAGAGAGCTCTGTTATAGGGAAGCCTGACCCCAACAATGGTCAGATGGAAATCTAAAGGCGGCAACAGCATAACCCTTGAAGAGCTGCAGAAATAAGATGACGATGATGATGACAAATTATTAGCAGCTGTGTGAGTGATGTGTGGAGTACGTAATGTGTGGCACTGTTGTGTTTTGAACACATGATAATCCAATTTAATCCTCACACAACAGCCTTGCAAGGAAAGTGTTAAACTCAGGTAGGCTACTCAGCTTGCCAGGCATCTAGAGCTGGGAGTGGGAAGCAGTCAGGACCATCATTTTGTACCTGGGCAGCCTCTTAGAGACAGCCACCAGGCACAGATGCTGTTAAGGGTACTTCCTGCTCTGTGGTTATATTTTAGAACACCCAAGTCACATCAATGAGAAATTATTATCAGTGAAGTAGATTCACTTGGTCTTCCATTGAGTTTTAAACTATGAAAACAATCATTATTAAAAATAGCCGCCACAATCATCTTGATGGAAGAATAGGTTCTCGCGGAACATATGTGGTGATTTGGGCCAGATGTTGACAGCTCTTGTGGTGCCATAAACTTGCTAAAGTCACTGCTTCTCTCCAAGATGTAATGATAGCAGCATTT